TTCTGGATTGTTCTCTGCTACTGTTTACCCCAAAAGACTCTATAAAAGAGCTCCTAGGGTCCCCAGTTTTATTTCCACTTACTCATTGTCTTTTTTCAGGATCAGCCTCAGGAATCAAAACTTCTTTTTCCCTTCAGCCCTTCAAATGGGATTTTTAAGTGGGGTTGCAGCAAACTGAATCTTTGATCACATTCTCTGCATCAAACTGCAATGACTCTAATTTTCAGTTATTAGTGAGAAAATGTGAAAATTCTCCTATTGGAGAGTTGTCATGACACATAATTTATATTATTTAGAGCTCTTTTAAAAGCTCATCTAGACTACTCTGTTAGGAATTGGAAATTAAAATGTATCATCAGTTATACTTTTTAGATGACATTGGAATTGAAAAGATGGGGCTGTTGCAACAAGAAGACATCTTAAATACTATGGTGTTATAAACAAAAAAAAATTATTTCTCTTTGGTTAAAATAAGACCACTGAAGACAAAATACCTAAGAATATCTTCCTGTATGCAGTTATAAATTTTTTTACTAAGATGAATGTTAGTAGAAAAGATGGACATGCTTCTCTATGTCTTACATAGATTTTAATCCACAGGTTTCATAGATGGAAGAAATATGGGAAATATATTTTCTATCAGTGAGGAACAATCAACTCTCTAATTTTAAAAACAAGTTAAGTTTAACAGCTACACAGCACATTAAATAGGAAATATATGTGCAAAGTTTGACTAGAAAAATTATTTTTCAGGATTCCACTAAAGTGTATTGCACATAAACTGTTTTCAGTAAAAGGCCCTCTTCTCTTCTGAGAAAGCTATTTAATCTTATACGCTTAATGAAAAGATATTCTATTTTTATAGCAATGGAGGAAGGTATAAAAAGCGCTAAGATTTAAGGAGACCCTTTCTCTGCCTAAAAACTCCAAATGAGGCTTTCACTCTTTTTTTTTTTTTTTTTTGCCTGAGTGTCTTCTCTATCAGAAATCTGCATGTCCTATTAACTACCCTAGAAAAGGGGGGACCTGAGAAGTTGAGCAGATTTTAAATAAAATTTAAAAAACAGTTTAATCCTCATCCATTTCAGCTCTTTTTGTTACAACTGCTATATAAGAGTGTGAACTCTCAAGAAAATGTTAGGGTAGTGTCTTAATTTCTTCTATATAGCTAGTTTTCTCTTTCTTTCTTTCTTTTTTTTTTTTTTTTGGT